AAAAATTCCAAAGACCGTAATTTCACGTTTAACAGGTTAAATGCACCATGACCCGACATCACACGTTATGTGTTTCTTTCTTTAAGGTTTATCAAGTCCACCAGAGAATGTGTCGTCAAGAATAGTTTTCTTGTGTCTTCTAATGCTTTCTGTGTTCGTCCTGACGTCATATTCTGCAATCATCGTGTCACTGCTGCAGACATCCAGTGATTCAATCGACACGCTCACTGATCTGATGGACAGTGCGTTCCATCTGAGTATGGAAGACATTAGCTACAACACAAACTACGTCAACGTGAGTGCCAAGAGTCTTGCGTTTTGTAGTTCTAATGGAGCTGGGTAATTTCTTGGTTTGTTTATTTGTTTATTGTTAGGCTTGTGTATTCTTTGCTAAAAGCAGGCCTACATATAATTAACTCACAGAAGGGAGTTCATATGTTTCCGTCCACTTAAATTATTATTACCATCCCAAACTATCTGACGGGTTTCTATAAATTTTGAATCTGGAATTTACATTAAAATTTGTCTATCGAATTAATTTTGGCTTTTTTATGTCCAATATGAACCTTACGTTACGTTAAAATGAAATTAAACGTTAATCGATTGTCTCAAAAAACGGTTCGTCGTAAATGGTTGGATGAATCTATGACCTAAAATATAAGCTATATAGATTTCTGTGTGGTATAGAGATGGCTGTATGAAATATGTTTAGAAGTAGTAGAATAAATACTTAAAGAAATACTCGGCAAAATAATTTCTAAAATAAACTGTGGGTTGGGTGACATACAACAATCGATTTATAACAGTAACAAATAAAGATCAAGAATAATGATGTGGGTAAAGCCGCAAAGAACGCATTTCGAAAATACGTGTACTCCAAAATATCGTTCGAAGTACACTTTCTACTCTTGTGTAAAATATATGTTAGGATCTTAATCAAACATTGTTGGGTGATTTTAATTTTGGTTCCTTTCATGCCGTACCTTTTAGTTTTTTCTCTTACTGTTATTATGTTAGTGTCGTATGTTATAGCCATGTACTTGCCTTTCAGGACACAATAGACCCTGTGATACAAAGACTTTTCAAAGAGAAACTGTACGCACAGCCATACAAACAAGCATTCACAACGCAGAAAGTTGGAGTTGAAAAGATACGTACAGGGCTTAATGCCTTTCACGGAGACGCAGGAGCTTACAAGGTTATGAGCGACACTTTTGAAGAATATGATAAATGCAGGCTTAAAGAAATCAAAATGTATTCCACAGATAAACTCGCTTTCCCTGTACGTAAAGGATCTCCTTATAGGGAACACATCACTCAGCGGTAAGGACACAAAAGTATTATATGCTGTCCAGAATAACCGACTTTCGTGATTAACTTTTAGGTTATTTTGCAACATGATGAGCTACATAGGTTATACAGCGTCAATTGAAACGTGAAGTCCATCAGAATGAGCTATAGCTCAGGCGGTTAGTCGCTACCTTCTCATTGCAGAGGCTTGTGTTCACTCACAGTCAGAATCATGTAATCTATAACAGAATCCGTTTACAATAATCTTGTTTTATGTGTATTATCTGTTACCTCCTTGAATGCACATGTGGATTAATGACTTGTCTGCTAAAAGGCAGGGTTCTAAAAATAGTATTTACTCTCAAACTTTCCAGCCAATTATCAAATTCTCTTTAGAACGCTTCAAGAAATATGGAAGCCTACTCTGCAGAGGTTCCTGTTAACTTGCTCATGGTGAAGCAGCGACCCTTTGTCCATCGGTATAATAAGAAAACCATAGGCCTTTTTAAGAATGAAAAGGCAAAGAGCGTAATGAGAGGTTCTGAGGGTAGTTTAATTTGGTGGTAGGAAGGTCGACTTGTATTCGGGAGGTGCCAGGTTTATATTCAATCGGTGATGGTTTATCTTAGTCATTCCAGTCAAATGTTCAGTTGATACCCAAAGTCGGCCGTAGCAACTTCGAAATATTCCTTTTAAATCTGAGGCAAAATAGCCTTTGATCTTTGTTGGCATAGTCTGACACGTTCTGCCACATATGTTCTTGTAATTTATACTTCCTTCCTGTTTGCAGGGCCAGATGGTTGAGAGAGATTGGCTTAGTAGGTCGAGAATATAAACGTTGGTTTTATCAGAAGCCGAAATGCGATTCAAACAGTCAAGGTTTCGTGAGTGTTCGGATTCTAGATTTCTATCCAGTGCTTTTCATTCTCCTGTTCGGAATAATATGTGCCATTGGAATCTTTGTGGCCGAAGTCCTATACAACTCGGTGGGAGGTGTCAGATGGTGGTCTCGGATCCGCTGCAGTCTTCGGCATGTTTCAGAGCAAAAATATTTGCGCTGAGGTAACTCTTACCTAATCCAACTCAAAACATCTTAGTTTTAAGACCCTGTTTTCTGTAGGCTAATACATACGTACTTGCGAAACTTGGTTTGTTTTTCTGACTGCGAGCGAAGAACAAATAAAGACGATAGAGAAATAAAATGCTGAGATTAATATTTGGATTTAAGAGAAAGTAATGAAACGCTTTTACAAAACTACGATTGTGGACATTCATATTTAGGCAACGTAACTAAATCAGTTAAAGATTCTATGAGACTTCGTGAAAGATGTGGGCTAAATATCCAAAGTAAAACAGACATAAAACAGTGGATTTGTGGTACGTAACAAACTAAAGAAATAAACACACGCTTATAGAAGAAAAAGGAATTTCCGTACTCCATTTCATACACTGTGACAAATTACATCTGGAATTTCTAAATATTTCTGAAACTTTCAATATTGCATTGCTGTTGGACCATGATCTTGCGTATAGATATGTAACTGGATATGTTTCTATATATATAGAAAATAACTTAATTAAAATATGTTATTTATTTATATAAGCTACATACTTTGAGAAACAAACATACGAATTTACGAAGGGCACATTAATTTAATATTAATTATAGAATTGGTGTACAGTGGGCTTAATACTCGTGCCTGGTATTCGCGAGGTCCCGTATTCTATTCTCAATCCCGAGACCTGCTAGCTTGAGATTCTTCGTGGTTTTCCTCAATCCCTCCAGACAATTGAAGAGAGAATACCATAAAATAGGCTACGATCTCCTCTTTTCATGTAGTTTCCAAATCATCATTTCTTAATCGTTCTAGCTCAGTCAGTGTAATGACTGGCTACGGACTGAACGGCCGGGGGCAGAGGATTTTTCCTCTAGCCTCTGCGTCCAACCCTGCTCTGGGGTCCACCCAGACTCCAATCCAGTGGGTACCAGGTTCCTTTCCCGGGGGCAAATCGCGGCCGGGACGTGACGCTGACCACTCACCTCCATCTAGTGCCGAGGTCAAGAATGAGTAGGATCTATACCAGTTCTCCCCCCCTCCCCCAAGCGCCTACATGGCGGAGAGTGGGACAACTTTACTTTACGTTCTATCATAAGATGCTGTGTCGCCTGAGCTCTTGACAGCGTCGTTAATAAAGCACTAATGAATAATAAAACAATTCTTACAAAGTTGCAATCAATTCACTGATATTACGTTACTTGTGTTAATTATAAATTACTTAGCTGACTGTCAAGATGAGACCTATCTTTCTTTGGAAGTATTGTTTACGAAATAGCTTGTCACTCATTAAAATTCCTCTAAAGAAAGATCAAAGAATTCTCTTCCATAGCACTACTTCGCAGTGACGCAAACCCCGTCTTAATTAATAACGAATTTATAAATTGAGGTTGTAGAAGGTACAGAGTATAAAACGGGTTGGCATTTTGTTCTATATCCGAATTTTCTTTGAAAGCTGTTCTTATTACTACATGTAACGTTTGTAGTAAAGTAAATTCCTGAATTGAAAATGTTGCCTGTGAGTCTAATACCAGGCAGTGTAACAATGTTGTTCGTATGTTGTGTGTCCGAAACGCGTGTTCCACAGATTACACTATCTCTCATGGAGTCATTCATAGTGCAGAATGATGTTTCTTCAGCTGTTATTGTCAATTGCTGGAATCTTCCAGGTAACGCAAAGTTGTATGAGTATTAATCGCACCTTTCAGACCCTGGTCCTTGAAGCATACATAGTTTCTGAATATTCGCAACGAATAAAAAATCGCGATTGCTGGTTTTATCATGTCTTTCTGTCCATATGTTAACATCTCGAGAACCGCTGAACGGAATTCTATGAAACCTGGTACTTAGGAACGTTATTAAAATTTGTCGGCACATTCCAATTTTTGTTAAAATCGGGCGACAATAATGGAAACTTTACATGAAGACGTACATATGTTTCTCGTCTCGCTAAATATTTATCGGAGCGAAAAATGTTCGGAACAAAAACTGTAGAGAATAATGAATCGCACATTTTGTGTCCAGTACATGGGCCTAATTTTACTTTTTCACAAGTACTGCTGTTTTCATATTAATCAAACAAAAGAGAGTTTTATTCCATGTCATCTCACTTGGATAACCATTGACTGATTTTGATCAAATTTTGTGCAGAAATTCCTTGTTCGTCATCTATAATAAGACAGCATCTGAATATTTGTAAATCTAGAGGCAATGACAGCGAACGCGCCAGATTATTTACGCTGTATGTATGTTTCATAACTTATTTAACCTTATAATCTGGTTGTTTATTAGTATACTAAATGTAATTGAATGTTTGCTTGCTAATTTTTCGGACAGGTGGAAACTTTAAAGTAGTCTAAATTACTAAACAATCATGTAGTAGAACGTAGTACGAGAACTCATCTTCAGTGAATATGATATTGTCACTGACAATTCGAAATGTTATAAGCCTGCATGTATCGATGTAATTAAAATCGAACTACAGTCACGTACACAGTAGGATATTACACTGTATAATAGATTTGTAGTGTAGTGTAGTGTCTAGAATAAAGCAGAATTACAACAGTGAGGTAAACATTTCTTGCTGGTACTATCTGTACATATGGAAACCTGACTTTTGCCAGCTTTACGCAGAGTTTTAGTTGGTAATCTTCTGGAATATCATCTGTGTACGATCATCATTGTGGATTCATTGGATTCAGTCGTAGTAAGTATACTTAAAGTATTCATAAAATCATTTGCATTTGAAGGTATTATAAAGAATACAACGCATTTCCTTTACAAAGATTAATTGGTCATTGCTGTTGAAGGAATGTCTAGAATAAAGCAGAATTACAACAGTGAGGTAAACATTTCTTGCTGGTACTATCTGTACATATGGAAACCTGACTTTTGCCAGCTTTACGCAGAGTTTTAGTTGGTAATCTTCTGGAATATCATCTGTGTACGATCATCATTGTGGATTCATTGGATTCAGTCGTAGTAAGTATACTTAAAGTATTCATAAAATCATTTGCATATGAAGGTATTATAAAGAATACAACACATTTCCTTTACAAAGATTCATTGGTCATTGCTGTTGAGGGAAATAATAGCTGTCTATTCTGAGAATTATATAAAACCCAAAATACAATACGTAATTAGAGTAAGTGGTACATATGGCTAGTGTTTAGGTATATGCTTTCAATTCGCTTTAATCAAAGAAAACACATTCGTACTACGGCTATTAACCGTACGTTTTTTAGATCGCGACATAGATTTCTTTTCTTACTTCATTGTTGTGTGGGGGGTGGCCCTACATAATACAGGTAGGCCCTATGTAAGTGCTAAAACACCTTTACGCTAAAATCTACACTTGTACTTAGATTATTTCGTTTACTTGAAAGTTTCTGTGCTTGAGCACAAGGGAGGATTAATTTCTTCTTTTAAGCATTCGTTGTCCTGCATTTTGATTTTAAAGCTACCTTCGCACTTCAAATTTGTATTATAAATTATTTTATCTGTTTCATATTATACAGTATTTTCATGATACTGCCCCTCCATATGAATTACCCTTTTCCCCATCCCTGCAATATCGGACTTCTAGGTCAGGTTTCCAGTAAATGCAGAAACCATGAAAATTCCGGGTCAAATTTGGACATGCCAAACCATTACTTTCAACTTCTGTGAGTATTGTTAGTTATAGTTTCAAATTACATGCCGTTTTCTGATTTTTGTTTCTCTTGAATTGTTTTATGTTAAGACAAGGCATCGGTGACCAAGAACTTGTCCCAGAAGAACATTATGGTGAAGTTCCAAGACCCTGGACGTGATACAGACACTTCTCTACTTCTTAGGACTGACTACCATCGCATTGCAGTGATTGTGGACCTGAAGTGTGAAAGGAGCTTTCTTTTTTTGTCATATGTAAGCTGTTACATATAGGCCTAAAGTAAAGATATTTGGGTAGGATATTAATTGAATATTTAACGACGCTGTTTAAATTTCAAAAGTTTTATGGTTCCGATTTAGATGGAAAATTATCACGACCTGGAAGGAGGCGGTCTAGCCTGGTCAAAGACATACCTAGTCCCGACATTCACATAAGAGACGCGAAAACCACGTAAAATCTCATTTGGAACATCTGGTAACCCAGTCGGCTATCCCACCACATTCAAACTTTGGTTTGTATTTGAGAGGTCCCGAGTTCAAATTTCGACCCTGTGACCGACTATCATGACTGAGGTTTTCCTTGGTTTCTCCAGGCAAATACTGGTACAGTACCTTAAATTAGGCCATGGCCGTTTCCTTAACATCCTTGCCAGTACATTATTCACTAACCATTTTCCCATCCAACTTTATGTAGTCTGAGCTGCTGACAGCTTCTTCAAATAAACCACAAACAAATATATAAATATATATGTAGCCAAAAGGTTATCAAGTTGTCACGTAATTTATTATGCATCACATTCCATGTGGATGATTGCGTGGGAAAATCGATTATTATGGTTCATGAATTGTAAATATAGGCCTACATAACATATAACACCGCTTTTGATATGGTTTGTAAAAATATCTAAATTTTGCGCAAGTTTCTTAGAAGTAAGAATACAACTGAACACAATATATTTGACATGCGTAGCTTTAGTTTATGTAAGTAAAAAATAAATTCTCTTATTTTCATTTTCCTATAAAAATGGAATCTGTCGAATGGTTATCACCTCTGCTTCATGTCCCAAGGGCCCGAGTTCACATCTGAGCTTGAAGACGGGTTATCCCGAGAATTTTCGTGTTTTTCTTCAATATCCCCAGACAAATTCTGGGAATACTTCTTAAATTAGGTCAACCTTCCTTATCCTTTCGAATTCATCATTTATAGATCACGCAAAAAGTTTGTGCTATGGAACATACACAGTTAAAAAAGTGTCGTTAAATAAACAGTGAATCGTATATAAATAACCATGATAAAATGTTTATACCGTGAAAACATTTAATATTAGCACAGTTGTTAATGATAAATTTGCCTTTTTGCAGCTGTACAATTGTAGGAAGTGTTTTGTTTTTAATTACTACTTTGTATATTTTTAGAAGCTAAACATAGCTGCTGTAGGAAGTGTTTTGTTTTTAATTACTGCTTTGTATGTTTTTAGAAGCTAAACACAGCTGTAATTTAGGAAGGTCACGCATTCGGTTAGAAATTTGGCTTTGGTCTTTGACACTCTTTTTTGGGAATATGTGAACTGGATAACATCATCATCATCATGTATAGTAGTTGTAATGCTTCTAAATTTCAGCAGTCTGACAGGATGTTCTAACAGGCACTAAAATAAGACTGTCAAATAATCGAAGTAATGAATGATTACTCCCACTTATCAATAATCCCTACCTTAATTCAAGCATGCAGAAAATATATTTGCTTCTTGAATACAAATGTCTGTTCACAGGCTGGCAAAAACAATTGTCTGAAACTTCAGCACCACTGGCTCATGCTGGTAACGAGCGACCTGTCTTTAAATGGTCTAAAATCTAAACAGGAGCCACTTATTACAGCTCTAGAGTCACTTCCTTTGGCAGTGGACAGTCAGGTGTTTTTAGCACATCAAGGATCTGATCTGAGCCATGTCCTACTACAAGAAGTATACAGGATTCGACCTGACCTGCCCCTTGTATTTACTCCTCTTCTTGAATGGTCATCTGGTCAACTACTGCCTCCAAAACTGCGGAGAGACAACTATGGTGGAATTTCTATAAATGCTGCTACAGTGGTAAGTAGTAACAGATTATGTAATGTTATAAATTCATTCTACAGAAGCAAATATATTTTTAAGGTTGCTAAGAATGATGTATGACAGGAGTAGTTTTCCTTGTGCCAAAGAACCATACTGTGCAGTTTCGACCTTAACATTTTATGGAAGTGAATGGTTAGTGTTGGATGAATTTAATACCTGAGATAAGTGTACGGGTTTTTATACGCGCAGTCTTGAAACTTTCCGATCGCACCTCGTATCTCTGCGAAAAACTTCCTAGTACTCATTGAATATGATTCTTAATGAACTCCAGAGGACGAATACTGTGAGCTGCTTTCAAATTATATATTTTGCTGGTAACATTTAATCCTTTCCATATATAACACGTATAAGATATTGAATGAAAGTAAACACTGATATTCATTTATGGCATTGTTAGTTTGAACACACGTATTTTTAGATGGGTATAATAAGTTTAATGGATTCCTTTTGAAACTCTAGTTTTAATACCAATATAATTATTTTCACAGGTAATTGATGATGTGTGGGAAAACTTCTTTGATATGCGCTATAAACATATTAACTCTCTGGGAAAATGCAACTATATGCTTATGTTACTTGTGTCCCAAATGTTAAATTTTACGTAAGTAATAAAATTATTATATTTGTTCAGTACTGGATTATGAAAATGTACTTAGCTTTATGGCCAATGGTAGATCAGAAAAATAGTAATTAGACAAAAATAAGACATCCACAATGCAACTTATGAGTGAAATTTATTTTTCTTCACACTTTCTAGAATGGCTCTGAGGTCTATCAAATGGGCATCAGAGTTCTTTTGTAAGGAATAAAAATGACCAGAGTATGAAACTGCTTGACTGAAGTTTTATGTAATGGAACTGCTCTAATTCAGATTTGACTGTGTCTTTGTCTAGAGAAACTGAAAAAAATTACAAAAATCTGTCATAAGGGCAGCTAGCTAGGCTAACATTCAAATATTGTACCTCCTGGTATATGGCAGTAGAATTATTACGGTACTGATCCTCTCAGATGATCTTTCATGTAAATGGTAGTAGCATACACTGACTGCACTAAAATTACACGTTCTTACAGGGTGAATCTAACTTTAACAAATACTTGGGGATTTCCAAAAAAGGGAACCAGTTGTTATGATGGTGTGGTTGGTTTATTACAATGTGGTGACACAGAAATTGGAGCCTTGGCCATTCTCTATAAGGAGAGTCGCATGGATAGAATTGATTATGCTGGGGAGACATTTGTGTTTGGGTAAGTGTTTACTTAAATACATGTGTGCTTTCGGCATCGTTTAATGGATTTACAAACAGATAGACAAACACAGAGACAGATAGTGGCTTTTATGATTAAAAATAATATATATCTGAAAATATTAAAAAAACAAATTAGTATGTTATATTATATTATAGCCGTCATAAAGAGTCTGTATATACACTGTTGTGTTGATGATTCATTGCATGAATTCTTCAAGCTGTAACTGAGTTTAACATTACACTCCCCTCACTAAAGAATAGAATTAACACATTCCAAGCATTCTATGCCATGCCTCTGTCTGTATGCTTGCATATGCATTTGAATTCCTGATGCCTTAATCATAAATTATAAAGTTTATATATGAAACTTACCGAAATCTAGTAAGAAAATATTAATTTTGTAATTATACTAGCTGTTTAAAACTGATACTTTCCTTTAAGACTAATTAAATTTTACACTTCGGCCAACCTTATTACATCAAAAGAAATTTTCTGAGAAAAGTCACACATCCTAATAAAATAAATGCATGTTCTTTAACTCATCTAGAAATATTTATATGGAGATAAATTTTTGTCATACATGACAGTTACTTGAAATAACTTTAATATTTGTTATCTTAAATATTCAGGTCATAAAATATTTAGACAGAATGTATAAATATTAAATGTATAAATGTATTATTCAGATAAGGATCCATTTAAACAGTTAACTCAGAAGCACCTATTACACTTCTGTATGCAAGAAAGTTGTGAAATTTTTTTTAAGATCCATGTACTTTTCTCTTATCTTAGTAATGAACACATCTTCTGAAATGTTTCAGACTTTCATTTAAATTCCTGAAACCATCACTTTCTGAAGTATCCATTATCTACACATTGCCATTCAGTAGATCTGTATGGGTCACGTATACAATAACAGGAGCAATACTATCAGTAGCCTTGTATGCCACACAGAAGGTGGAAAGCTGGGTGAATCCATCACGAACAGGTCCTCCTCTCTTATTTGGAGATACTGCACTAAATTCATTAGCAATTATGTGTGCAGAAGGTAAGATTATAAAAAGTATTTTTCTACCCTATTTCTTAGTTTATTAACCCTTTCTGTTTCACCATGTTTTTTATCTGGCATAAGCCATGTATGTTAATAAAACACAAGAGAACATCTGAAATCTCATATAAAACTTTTCCAAAGGTACATTAATTTCTCATAATATTGATTTTTGTTGTTTGATAGCTCAGTCAGTATGGTTACTGGCTTTGGGTTGGAACACTGGGGTTCAATTCCTGGTGAGGATATGAATTATTCTCTTTGGCGTCACATCCAAACCAACTTAGGGGCCTAACTAGCCTCCTTCGAATGATTACAGGAGTTCCTTCTCTTGGGATTAATGTGACCAAAGCGTGAAGCTGGCCACTTGTTTCATCTGGTGCTGTCATTAATAATGCATGGCCCAATACTTCCATTCCATCCACTGTGGCACTTGCTTAAGCCCAGGAATATTTTTTATTTTTTGAGTTCACATTTTTGAAAATATATTGTTTTTAACATTTTAAAAGTTTATTTATTATAAAAGAAAAATAATTATTTCCCACCTACCTCCTTTGTTACATCTGAGTATTGACACCTTAATGAGGAAAAAGTAACTGTTTGTACATCTTGATTTTTCCTGTACATCACTTTTTGCACACTCTGTTCACTGTCTGCTTACTTGAACATGTTTCAGACCAACATGGCCATCATCAGGTTAAATTCCCTTCCAAGTGAACAGAGTATGTGAAAAGTGACATACAGGAAAAACCCAAGAAAAACATACCACACCAGGATGCTACACTACAGACCTACAAATGGTACCCATGCCTTATCAATTTATGCCTTCTTTATGAGTGTAGCATAACTGCTCATTAAGCTGTAGTTACCCTCTGGCAATCACTTTCCTGCCCTCCTTTCAGTAGGATAAATAGAATTCATGTTGTATGTGCTTTCATGTCACAAATTAGTTCCTTCACCACACAAAGAGAGAGACGCTTAAAAGTAGGCACTTGCCCTGCAGGCATTATATAATCTTTTTAAAGTACTAATTCAATTTGTAATATCATTCCAGGATCACCACGTTCACCAGAGAATCTTTCATCGAGGATTGTGTTCCTGTTTCTTCTCCTGTTGTCTCTGTTCCTTACTACATCATACTCAGCAATTATTGTGTCACTGCTGCAGACTCCTAGCAACGCAATTAACACACTCACTGAGCTAATAAACAGTCCTTTCAAACTAAGCATGAAGGATATTGCTTACAACACAAAATATGTAAATGTATGTAGTATGAACTTAAACTCTGAGTATTGTCATCATTCATTGATGATTCCAGTACATGGGTGGTCTTAAGATAAAACTTCCTCCACTGTTCACTTTCCTCCCTTAATTGTCCATCTTGTGTGTATCTAATCTTTTCTGTTCTCTTTTATGTATCTTCCTTCACTTGTCCTCTTCCCCTTGTCCATGGTCCATACAGTGGTCACTTATTTGAAACTTCCTTTGTGATGTTTTCACAGTGATCATATTATCATGTATTATAGTCATAAAAGTTAATATATTATTTCTAAAGAAGAAAAATAATAATATTTTAACTATAGTCATTCATGCAACAGAGGTTATGTGTGATCCAGCTGGCCATACTGCTAAACCATTAACCCTGGATCCCACATGATACTGATGCCTAATGACTTGCAATAGTGATGAGATAAAAGTAAAGTAAAGCTGTTCCACTATACGCCATGTAGGCGCTTGTGAGAGAGTGATTTATTCATTTACCTGCTAGATGCATTCCTGAAAAACATTGTTTTTTTCTAATTTTATCACTGTAAGAGATATTATTGCCAACACTCTCCATTAAGTGGAAGGTGTAGTGGGTTTATAGACACATTAACTGCTATGGCTATTTTTATCTTTCTTTACATCAACACCACACCACTTCTGCCATATAATCTGTTATTGCATTTCCTCTGAAATTTTGGTATCTACCAACAAGTACACTTGTCATTACAATCCAGAAGACCAGCATGGACAATTTTCACAGTTCTCCAATTGCTTTAAATTTAAAGTATGTAAATGAAGAGCATATACATGGAAAAATTATTGAATTTGTTTAATTTTTACATAATAATGTTTTTCTTTTCTTAGGACACAACAAATCCAGAAATAAGGAGAATGTTCTATCAGAAATTGTACACTAGACCACATTATCAGGCATTTACTACAGAGGAAATTGGTGTTGAGAATTTACGTAAAGGATTGTATGCTTTCTATGCTGGTTCAGAAGCATACAAGATTATGAGTGACACATATGAAGAATATGAAAAATGCAGATTAAAGGAAATATCAATCAATCCTTCGAATGTTCTTGCATTCCCTGTGAAAAAGGGAAGTCCGTACAGAGAACATATCACTCAGAAGTAAGTAATCGTGAGAGCCAAGTATGATTCTGTAAAGATTTGTGACAGTGGTTGATTTATTAACTTTAGTTATATTGGACATTGTCAATTTTTTTTCAGGTATAATTGACATGTTTATGAAATTTTGAGGGATTCCTGTATTCCCATATTCATGAAACTGGTTGTCATATTAACATACATTTATATTGTTTTTAGGAACAAACCTGGAACCCTTTGAATACTGTCAAATAGACCCACTCTAGAACCACTTTAGTTGTCTACTGGTCTTGTTTAATTTTTATACTGTAAGTGGCATCTCATCAAAAACTGTCTCAAGTACTTACAGTTTGCTAGTCTTGCTACCATGCATTAAAATCTAATTTTCTTTCCTAAAATTCTGGTGCATTATGGGAAGCTAATAAAATGCCATATCATACAATGTTTTTGAAGAATAAATAATATTAATCTCTTTATGGAAACTGAATATAAAAGAGCCAATTTTCCATCACCAATTTCACATATTTCTGTCTCTGTAGAGCCCGCTGGTTGAAAGAAGCAGGTATGGTAGATCGAGAATATAAACGCTGGTTCACCCAAAAGCCTAAATGTGATGCTAACAGCCAAGGATTTGTAAGTGTGCGCATTAAAGACTTCTACCCAACATTGGTTGTATTATTAATTGGTATTATCTGCTCTACAATACTGTTCATTCTGGAGTTTGTGTACCACAAAATAAAATATGGCACATACTGGCCAAGGGATTCCACTACAAGTCAAGGTGAACTAGTAAATGCTAGACATGAGAAGCATGGCAACTAGTCATGATTTCCCATATAATGGCACAATTAATATCTGAAAAATTCAGACAGATTAGGGATGTATCACTTCATCTGTGGTTTGACAGACTGAATGTGTTCATCAAGCTTTTTCAGTCAGATTCTGAAAACAGAACTCTTTGATTAAAAGTTAGTCAGAATTATCATTCTGAAATGCAGCCAAATTAGGCATTGTACACATAGGATAATGGTTCAGGCATGTTCACTCTGCTGCCTCTTGAGTTTCTATTTATGACTGCTGACTTTTGATGCTTTCTTGTGAACAGTACAACATTGATAGGGTGGACAGGTAAAGAACATCATCACAAAATTTGATAAAAATGTGTCCAACTATTCTGTAGTTATGAGATGATACAGCATGAAAATCATTTTGTTTAAAAACCTCAGATGAAAACCAAAGTACTCAGAAAGAACATATCATTAACTTGTCCACCATTAGTTCCACATAAATTGCACTGGGGTTGAACTTGGGCCTGTGTGTTAAGAAGCCAATATCTAATTGTTTGAGCTATGGTATACTCATATGGAACATATTATATACTGTATAATGTTATACATATTACATATTTGTGTAAGGACTGCATATTTATTTTGCTTTCAGTATGTGTGTGAAGAGTTCTTCACATTGCTAACTGTAACATTATATAGCAGATAATGGAATAAAAGAAAATGTGTAAACAATGGAAGAGCTATAAAGGTTAGAGAAAATATTCAGCTATCAAGAAATTCCTTTCTGTGAAAAATGTGATATATTAATATCTTTGGAACCTATTCCTCTGAGATCATCTTTACTTCTGGTTTCTCTAAGATTCATTTTGATGCTATCCTCACAGACCAGATATCCCAAGTGATTTCTTCTCTTGATATATATAAACTGCAATTTTGTACTATTTTTTTTTTTTATTTCCCTCACCTTATCCTTCTTTTTTAATCATCTGATACCATTAAGGACAAAAATAATTCTTGTAAACTGAATGGCTTAAATATGTAAAAATGTATGTTAAATGTGTTTTAAAGGAGACAGGTCTATAGGAACACAGAAATGGAGTGACCTCCAGATAATTTGTTCATATAGAGGAATGTATTAGTATAGACATGACAGCAAACCTTTCAATAGAGAGATCATTATTAAACATGTCAATAGTACCAGCACCTTATACTTTCCTTCCTCTCATCAAAATTACCCATTCTTGTGTTACACTTTCATCTTTCTTTTTATATTGTAATATTCATATGTGCTGTCTCAGTGCTAATCAGAGGATTTGTGTAAACTACCATATATTTCCTATCACTCATTTTAGTTGACAGATCAAAGAATTTCAACATGTTGACTTTTAGACTGTCATTCTGTGACCGATGGTTGTCATTAATTATAAAGTTGTTAACCTAGATGACATAAAGGATAATATAAAAGGATATGTAGTTGCAGGAATTATTGTACTGTAGTGTTATTAAAGTTGTGACATAGTTCTATGATAGCTGTGATTAATTTCAGTAATACCATCCTAAAGTCTTAATTTAATATAATTGGTAATATTAACACATTGAAAAATTGCAGAATAAACAATAATTGCCTTTGCTATATTAGCTACATTAAACCATGTCACCAGTGATTTCATATAGTGTTATATAATAATTCATATATAAATGTCATTCAGTTTCTTAAAGTCAATAGAAAGAATGTCATGGTAATGGGAACTACCAAGCCTCAAACATGTTACATTAGATTGCAGATCTAGTCTGTCATTCATTACTTATCTGGCTTTTCCCTTTTCATGTAGACAAGTATATTTCTGGAGGCTGACTGAGTTAAGAATCTGGTGCTATAATCAACTGAATCCAAAAATAACAGAAACATACTGGATATTAATGACATTACAGATTATATATAATATCTTTGGTTAAGGATATCCAAATGGCAAGATTAATTTTAAGATTTTCTTTACATATACTTTATCAAATTACTGTAATGTAAATGAAGCTCCTGGTAGTATTATATTTGTACCAGACTTTTGGTCTGGCTGTCAACAACATCACTTTCTCCCTCATCAACACATTCACAGAGAAAACTAGTGCAACATCAACAGTTTTCTTCTCTTGCTGGAGTCCTACAGGTAAAATGCAATTCTAAACTGCCATTAGGTGATGTTAATTGGTAAGATAAAAGTGCTCTATCTACATTTCACTGAGGAGTGTCCATTCATTCTATCAGGCACTTCTAAGCAAAGGCTTAAGGACCAAATATTATAATCATTTGTTACCAGTGAAAATTAATTACTATCATAGCACGGGGATTTAGACAATTTGTATCTTTTTAAAAATTTAGATTCAACTGCAGTAAAGTTAATGGAGGATTTATGATGCACAGAGTGTGTTAAAGTTAATGGAGGATTTATGATGCACTTATGATTATGCATTTATGATGCACTTCAGTTTTCTCAGTCAATAATTCTTTCACAAACCTTCCACATTTATTGATGCCTCTGAGGAGCTAAATAGACCTGATTAATCGATACAGTTATCACAATCATGGAAGTTGTATCTTTGACCCAAAATATGGCAAGAATTAGAAAAAGAAAGTTATCTTTTAGTTTAGCTAAAGAAACAATTTTATATGTGACATATGTACATATAATTTTGCCATACAGGATTATGTAGTGAATCAGAGGGGAAATAGCTTCAGAAATTTTTCAATGTGTGTTACAATCTTATAACTAACTGCTTGCAAATTCTTAATTCTGAATATATTCTTTTATTTCTAGATACCATGCTTATGGCAAAATTCATGGCAACAAAAGGACTGTTTATAAACATTTATAATCCTGGTGTCCAAAGGAAAACACTAAAGCAGCTCTGGACTAAATATCACCATGTAACAGTTGTAATGGATCTTCAATGTGAAGGCAGTTCTATTTTACTCGCAGATGTAAGAATATATTATTTTAAATCTCCATATATTCTTCTGAACAGCATAGATTGGACACTCCTATAAAATATAGTAATTGACTTTAATATAATGTTTATTATATGTTGTAATATAATGTGATCACAATGAAACATATTTATAATCATGTTGATATCTATGTACTGAAGCTGTTTTTGAGGATAATAAGTTTTTTCCATGATCTTAATGGGCCAGTTTTCTACCAGTTACATTTGTCATGTTTTGGATATTATAAATTTGATAGATGCATAAACCAGCAATTTATTCCAAAAGCTAATGTGTTATACCAAAGTCTTCTGATTTTTCTTGCCTCTTCATTGACTTACAAATTACTTACTGCATTATTACAGCAATTCTAAAAGAACGGAATTCTTTGCCAGCTTGTAAAATTGTGAAATGTGAAAACTAAAAACTCATATTTATGAGACATATTGATGGTGAGACATAAATGGATAGACAACAGAAAGAATGCCTTTGAAACAAACATCATATGAAAAAATAATAAGTGTGTAATTAAAGAAAAAATTGAAAGAGCCGACAAAAGAGGCCATGCTAAACAAAAATCCAAAGGTAAACCTGCAGGAAAATTGGATTTAAGAAGTCATCAAAGCACTAGATGGATTAACAATAACTTTTAAATCCAGTCCTGTCCTGTCCATAGACCCTAATCCATGATGTTCTTGGTGGTGGTGGTGATGAAAACAGTGACTAACAAAATTTATGGCTCACATGAAGTTATTTACTGGCCTATTACTGCTGATGGCATAAAGGTTTATTAATAACAAATAAATTATTCTAGGCCTGCAGAAACAACTATCTAAGGGGCCTGCATCATTGGTTGCTACTGTCATTATCTGATGTAAGTGAAGATTCATTGATTGCTACCCTGGAACCACTGAATGTGTCTGTAGATAGTCATGTGACTGTGGCACATCAGAGACCTAACATAAATGAGATAATTCTGCAGGATGTCTATCGAATCAAGGCAGGGCTGTCTCTCATATTTACACCACCTTTTAAGTGGAGTCCAAAACAACCCCTGCCACCTATATTTCGGAGAGATAATTACCGAGGCATTACTTTCAGTGCAGCAACAGTTGTAAGTAAAGGTCAATGAAGTCTTTCATGACATAATTACAATCTGAAAAAAAGCTTACTTCTTAACCTGATAATTTATTTTTCACAGGTGATTGAAGACACATGGGACAGCTTTTTGGACTTGAGATACAGACACTTGAACACTCTGAGCAAGTGTAATTTTGTGCTTATGTCATACATATCTATAATTCTAAATTTTACGTAAGTTGCTCTTAATTTATCACTTAAAGCTATCACACATAATTTATTACAGAAAGAAGCCAATACAACGAAGTTCTTGTTTTCCTCTTTCAACACTGTTTATTCTTAAGAATCACTACTGCAAGCAGATTTTTTTAGTTCTTTAAAAAGTATCATATCTGCTTTATATGCAGGAACATAATGAACAAAATTACTGTCTTTGAAATTAGTATGACTATAATATACAGTTTCCTTAATGTTAACATAACTATTTGTTATATGACAGATCCATATGACATTTAAGAGTGACATAACACACTTTTAACACAAAAGCATTTCTTGCTTTTGTGTTTAGTCTTGTGGTATTTTTTATAAATCCTTGTCCAATTTGAATGAATTATGAAGTATCAGCATACTTAACCAATAATTTCTGAGATTTGAGGTTGTAATGGTTATTAAGATATCATATGTGGTATTCTAGGTTGTGATACCTTGCAGACTTGTAGGTGGCCACCAATAATTCAGAATAATGTAGCTTCTCCATTATAAAGATTTTAGGTAATATATTCCTCAAAAAATATTGGTAATTACCCACAAGACCACACAGTGTCACAAACTGGAGGATCACAACTGAAAACTGATTGATAGATCATTTTCAGTACTTCATCAAGGCAAAATAATTTGAGAATTGTGGCTTTGACAACCAAAAACACAAACAAATCTGTCCTTTCTCAGAATGAACCTAACTGTAACAGACACATGGGGATATCCTAGGAAAGATTCCCCTTGCTATGATGGTATTGTTGGTTTGATGGAATGTGGCGATGTTGAAATTGGTGCTGTTGGCCTTCTTCAGAAGGATGCTCGCTTGGACAGAATTGACTATGCTGGAGAAACTATTGATTTTGGGTGAGTGAAACCACATGTGAAAATAGCTCATTTGATCAAGAAATAGTATGGTGGCATTCTGTTAATTGACTAAACCCTTGAAAGTAGATCACAAATGTTCATCACCATTAGCACCAAAATTGACTAAACCCTTGAAAGTAGATCATAAATGTTCGTCACCATTAGCACCATAATCTGTCATTGGATGATTCTGAGTCAGATCATTGTAGTTCATACACATCTTCATAACCAGTTCCCCTAAGTTCTATCTTATTACTTCCTCTTATTTCCTTCTTGGTCTTCTATGTGGCCAGTTTGTTTCTCCGAAAGTGTTTATAAACTTCTTGATCCCCATCCTAGCTACATGCTTATTTCATCATAACATCCTTGATTTGACCATCCTAACAAAACTACTTGTAGGTGGAAAGAAGATGGCTGTCTTCTGCGATTTAGTGCCATGTAGTCCATCATCAGGGCTATGAGTTGTCCTGATGATGGATGCACCAAGGACATTTAAACTTCTACCAAACTACATGGAGCTACAACCCAGGAGACAGCCATATTTGGACTCACCACTGTAAAAACCTCAAATCCTACTTGTAGATGAACTGTATAGCTTGAAAAGTTTCTCATTATGTAATGCTATTCATTCCCCACTTACCTTACATCACTTAGGTTCAGCTATTATTCTGAGCACTCTGTTTTCAAAACACTTGCAATACACAAACTTCCATCATAGTAAGATACTAGATTCAGTGACCACAGAGAGAAAATATTCTAACTCTGTTTAATACATTGCAGAGGCAAGTTTATGTTCCTGAAGCCTTCACTCTCTGAGGTTTCTGTTATCTACACTCTGCCATTCAAAAGTTCAGTGTGGGTTGCATACTTAGCAGTAATGGGGATCTTAACAGTGGCTATGTATATCACATATCACATGGAACATCAGATGAATCCATCACAACCTACACTGCAATTCGGTGATGCTGTAATCAACTCACTTGCTCTTATGTGTCAAGAAGGTAAGCTATCCCACACAAGACTCCAAAAATGACTGCTTGATTAATGATGCTATAGTTTACAGTACAGTAAATAGTTTACAGTAAGTGAAATAGAAGTTCAGTTTTTCCTCATTCTTCTTAAATTTGAATTCAAACAATGAACATCCATACTGAACATCTTCAAGATGTTCTCACATGTCATGAAATAGTCTGAAATGTATAAGAGACTGGAAAGGTATACTTCAGTTTAGAGTGTACACATTTCAAATTAATTCTTCATGATTCTGAGTCGTTAATTCATTAGAAATCATGTTCATTTAGTTCACTATTGTACTAATTAACAGTATAAATATTATATTGCATAAAAGCATAAGTATTTTTCCTTGTATTTTATTAGGTGTAAGTTTATTTATCACAGCACAAATATGTTTACTTAGATTAGTGTTTTATG